ACACACCCAGAGAGGCAGGGATACAATTTTTGGAATCATTTTTCAGGCTGAAAAACTTAACCAGAGAAATATGAGATTTTTATATATTTAATGCATTTCCTAAGGAAAAGACCTGCATAATTTAATAGGGGTGAAAACAATAAGTTTCTGTGGAAATGTAATCTGTTTCTATAGAAAGTACCTTTAAAGCCTATTGAACTCAATGGAAAATAATATGCTTTCTATATGTTTTTGAGCCATCCTTTAGGATTCTTTAGCAGGGATATAATTTTCTATTAAATTTTACAGAAAGGTCAAATATATGCTATAGGAAAGTAATCATTTTTATTCAACTATACAGAATTTTTTCATCAAGGAAATTTTGAGTCATCCTTTAGAATTCTTTAGCAGGGATGTAATTTTCTATTAAATTTTACAGAAAGGTCAAATATATGCTATAGGAAAGTAAGCATTTTTATTCAACTATACAGAATTTTTTCATCAAGGAAATGTGAATTTCCACAAGGAAAATGGTTTCAGACAATCACATTGTTTATCTAGATCCCGTCAACAAAATATCAGAAATTTGCTAGCCTACATCCAGCATTAAACATTGGTCTTAATAGCAGAGATCATGAATCATTTTCCTGACAAATACAAGCAAAGATTTTTTTTCTCCCTAGAAACTAGGCTATAAACTACCTCCCTAAGGGAGAGGCTCCACTATGAAACTGACCATCACTTTGCACTGTCATCTATAGAAACGTTTCGTGAACTGTTTTAAGATGAGAAAAAACCTTACCCACAGTGGCTTAAGAACTCATTCTTGGAACCCTACCTGCCATCATTAGAGCAAGACAATCTGATAGCAGCATGCACTGGTTTGTTGGCATGATCCAGTGTTGGATGAACTCATGGGTGTGTACTTCACACTCACTAAAGGTGCCATTTTGACAAAAGTGAAGTTACCATGCAGACAGGTCAACAGCGCAAGGTTCCCTACTCTAAGGGTACATCTAACTATGTAGCTATTTCAAAATAAGCTATTCTGGAGTTATTCTGAAATAGCTAATTTCGAAATAACACGTCTACACTCCAAGGAAACCTCAAAATTAGTCCAATCCAGGCTTCCCTTACATAGACGTGCTATCTCGATTTAGAGGCCCAACAGGCCCTGGGGAGGAATAACTGAGAATGGCCCTGGGGAAGGGCTATTTTGGAATAGCAGCAGTGGAGAGTCCACACGCCTTATTTCAAAACATTTATTTCAGAATAGGCGTAATTCCTCATATTGGCATCCCTCGGTTGGCAGAGGGATGCAGATTAGTCAGGTTGATACTGCAAATGAGGCAGGGATTTAAATATCCCATGCCTAATTTGCATAAAAATGGCAGCCGCGTTTTGCCGACGCAGCACTTCGTCGGCAAAAAGTGGCAGTCTAGAGGAGGATCTGTTGAGAAAGAAAGCCAGGAGGCATAAGGGATCTGTCGAAAAAGGCTTTCTTTCTCCACAGATCCCTCTCTAGACTGCTGCTTTTCCCTGAAGAAGAGCTGAGTCAGCAAAACACGGGGGCAATTTTAACGCAAATTAGGCACGGGATATTTAAATCCCTGCCTCATTTGCACAGACATATCCAGAGTGTGGTGTACAGATTTCGGAGCATGCCATCTGCTATTTTCAAATAACGGAATGGCTGTGTAGATGCTTGCACTGTTATTTCAAAATACCACTAGTTATCTCAATATAGCGGTGCACTGTAGACGCACCCTAACTGATTCCCTCTTCTTACAAATTTTATTGTGTTAACGTATGATTGCGATGAGTCAATTAGATGACACAATGCTCTCTGTAAATGAACAGTGAGTGCAGAGGAGAGTAAATTTAATTAAACATCCTTTGAACTGTCACTGATTAAATCCTGATCCTATGTCAAACCAAATATCAGCGTCAGGTCTCTAATTGTTTCCTTAGCAAGAGATATCATAGTTCCTCCAGATTATTTACTAAACAGGAAACCTATAGTAGAACCTCAAAGTTACAAACACCAGTTACAAACTGACCAGTCAACCACACAACTCCTTTGGAACCAACGTCCGCAATCAGGTGGCAGTAATTACCACCTCCCCCCAAAAAAGAAAATGCAGGACAGTACTACGTTAAATGTAAACAATTACACAATAAAGGGAGTGTTTATTTTTTTAAATTTGAACAAGCTAAGGAAACTGTTTCTGTTCTTGTTTCATTTAAATTAGGATGGTTAAAAGCAGCATTTTTTTTCTTCTGCATGGTGAAGTTTCAAAGTTGTATTAAATCAAAGTTCAGTTGTAAACTTTTGAAAGAACCACCATAATGTTGTGTTTAGTATTATAAACATTTCAGAGCTACAAACAACCTCCATTCCCAAAGAGTTCTCAATGGAGGTTCTATTGTACATTTATTTAGTCCCTTTAATGTTTATATTATGTGTAAATAAACCAAGATTCTATTGGTTTATTTATTCTAAATCAAGTTTCTATTGAACTCAGTGGAAAATAATATGCTTTCTATATGTTTTTGAGCCATCCTTTAGGATTCTTTAGCAGGGATATAATTTTCTATTAAATTTTACAGAAAGGTCAAATATATGCTATAGGAAAGTAATCATTTTTATTCAACTATACAGAATTTTTTCATCAAGGAAATGTGAATTTCCACAAGGAAAATGGTTTTCAGGCAATCACATTGTTTATCTAGATCCTGTCAACAAAATATCAGAAATTTGCTAGCCTACAGGCTTTCTTGTCCTTCTTTCTGATTCTGGACTCATTCTCAAAAGCAACATGCCCAACTGGTTATTTATCTGGTTTATCTTCTTGCTCCTGTTGGTTTCAAACCAATCATAGCCAGTCAGAGAGAGAAACTTATGAGAGGCCACTATTTTTTGTATAGGCAATGGCAGTGCAATCTGATTCATGAACTAAAAGAAAGGCACATTCTGTGCTCCTAGTGTTGGTTTTTCACTATTACATGATTATAGTTCAGATTCTGTGTGCATTTTTAGAGTAATCCCTCTTTTCAAAGGCTTAACATGCAGCTATGAACTGAGCATTCGAGGTTTCAAGATGATTTCTTTGGCTTGTGAGTCAATAATACTGGTTTAATAAAGTTACCCCAAAGGGTTTGTTTGTTTGTTTGTTTGATAAAAACTAAACAAAGAACATTACAACCCATAAGCTCTGTCTGAAAAGCATTCAGATTTTTTTGCAACACCAAACAGATGCAAGGAAGTGTACAAGGAAGACTGAAGTGTAATATGAGATAGTCTAATTACAAAGAAGAAGAAACCACTAACAAAAATTTTCTAAGTGTTTTACTGTAGATATTGATTAAAAATATCAGTTTTAATCATATGTGAAACTTCCATCTTGACTAGCCCATAAAATAAAGCAAGGCTGTCAAAATCACCTCACATTTGTTCAGATGGGAAACCAGAGACTCACCACAGTTGTAAGGCAAGTTCTAAAAGGCAGAACCTCAACTAGTGTAGACAGACATGCTGCTTACCCAACTGAGAACTTGGCCTGCTATCTTCAATTCATGTAGGTTGGCAAAAAAATTCTGCACACGGAGGTATCACCCTCAACTTTTTTTATTTCTTACTTTTCATTCATGTACGTGCTAAGCGTGAAGCTACCTATGCTTAATTTATTTAAAAAATGCATGACTGGAAATACATTTATTATAATACAAATAGAAAAATATTTTCCTATCAGCCGGTGTGCATGCCAACCTCCCAATAAAACTAATGGGATTATGTGTATTTACCAACAGAAAACCGACCACCTCAGACATCATAAGAATGTGTCACATTAAAGGAAATGGGAGTTGTGTGCTCACAACTTCTACAAACTTGGCATTTGTAAACCCAAATTCTGCTCCCATTAGTTCCCACTCCTGCCAGCTGATACATTTGGGCAGATTCCTGCATCCAAATCCCACTGATGTATTGAAGTCAAAGAAAAGCTAGGCAGTGCAAAGTTCATCCACGTGACCCAGCTTATAGGAGTGAGGCCCTATATGCACATGAAGAACAATAAGCGCCCCAAATACTGAATGCCCACTTGCAGAGAGCCAAAGCAGGAAGAGACACTATGCTGGGGAGAAGCTATCCATATGAGTGCCCATGCCTCTCCAGTTTTGCAGGGAGGGAAAAGTGAGAAAGAAAAGATCCATGGACTCATGAAACAAAGTGCCAGTACCAATGGGTGCAAGTACTGTGAAATGGGAATGTTTTTTAAAAATGAAGGCTGAATGGTACAATAAACTTTAAAGTAAAATGCATTAGACTGAGGATCAGTGTCCCAAAGCTAGGTGTGGAAACCTCATTACTTAAGACAATTAACACTTTCATTGGACAAAGACTAGACAAGCACTAGTGATAGGCAACAAGCCGAAGTTGGCAAAATCATATCCAGTATGACTGAATAGGTCTTTCTTTGACTTCTCTCTTCAGTGAGTCTAACTACTTCAAGAGAAGGCATCAGATTCAATCCCATAAGATCTCTAGCATGCACTGGTCTCCATGCCGACATAGGTTCTGTGGGAAGCTCTTGTAAATTACCTTGCTTGGAGCTTCAGGATTTGAGCTTTAGTGCTTGCGGTCTGAGGCTATGTCTAGACTGCAGTATTAAATTGGAAAAAGATATGCAATTTGATTTACTTTCAAAGGAGCCTTTTCCAAAAATTTCGTGCATCCATATGACACCAAATGTCTGGAAAAAAGTGCTCTTTCAACACATCCCTTATGCCTTGTAGAACAAGGTTTACAGGGATGGTGAAAGAGCACGTCTGCTTTTTCATTTTTTTTTTTTTGAAAAAGTGGACGCGTTCCTTGGATGCGGCGTTGCCAATGCAGTCTAGATGTAGTCTTAGAGTCACTATCAGTTTTGTTTGAATGAGCATTGCAGGATTGGGCCCATTACCTTTAGAAATGCATTCACAAGTAGGCAAACAGCGATTTTAAAAAAGGAAACTATATTTACCAAGATCAGCCTTTTCCTTTAGAATGTCTTTGAAGTTCAGGCCACAGTTGAGTGTGGATTGCCTATATCTCATCAGGGCTTCCTTCTGTCCATTCTTGCCCAGTTCCATGGGTGTGACGGGGTCAGCCCGGAGACCACACTTCCACTTGGAGAAATCGGAATGTGCCCATTTTGCCAAGTCTTCAAGCTTCACAGTCACCTTCTCTGAAACAGCAATAACTTCATCCTGCAAGATGTAGTCAAACAAGAACAGAGCATGTCATGTGGGGTTTATGATGAATGATAAGCTTGTCGCACTGCCTCTTTGACATGTTATTGGAAAATTTTATCTTGCTCCTGGCAGATCACTTTTTCTGTGATACAGAATATCCAATAACTCATGCAATTTGCATGCCATCTTAATGTCACTGTTAGTTGTTTATTTGGAGCAAATATTTATGTGATAAAAAATGTCCAAGAACATCAAGGCAGTAGTCTTAAAATGCATTTTAAATGTGTACTGCCAAAGTGCATTCTGTATATCCCAAAGGCTCGGATGAAAGCTTGCTTTTTAGGTGCAATTAGCTACAAATGTAAAAACTCATGGCTGGATGACTAATGGTTATAGCTAGTCCTCAAATAAATGGGCTACGTAAATCTTAGATTCTTAGAACTCTGACTCACCAGAAGATTCCTCTGTTTATGGTACATTTTCCCTTGGCTTATACACAAATATTGAATTTAACTTTTGTCCTAAAAATTAAATAAAACTATGATGTAATCCCAAAAGAAATACTTCATAAATGTCTTGTATGTTTCCCACCAAAAGAAACTCACATATTCTCATGTTTCTTAAAACTTTTTCAAGAACAGAAAATAACTGTATTTTTCTCTAATCTTAAGAATACAGTCTAAGAAAAAGAACATATATGTGAATTAAACCTCTGTAATTGCTACATTTTTATCCTTCCAGGAAACAATCAACTCTTCTCGTCATGATGAATAAGCAAAATGGTTTATGGCTGCCTACAGTAAGCAGGGCTTGAGAAGGCTTCAGAAAAAGAAAAACCCAACTCCAACTCCTACTTTAGATCTTGAAACTTGTGATTTCTAAGTTCAATATTTGAAACAGTTGATGTTTTAACTTGAACTGACATTTACACCACACATTTCGAGATAAAACGTAGGTAATGTAGTCACTTTAAATGTATTAACCATAATCATTTCTTTTTTCCAAAATATACACAACTATTTAGGAATAGGAGGGGGGCAAAGAAAGAGTAAGTGAAATTCTTGCAGTTATTAAACAAATGCATGGTTGATATGGTTGATGTGTGGATTTGGGGAGGAGGGGTTGTTTTGTTTTGTTTTGTTTTGGCTTAATACATTCCTCAGGGGAGGGAGGGTGGGTATGTTTTGTTATAAGTTACACACAATATGAAACCTGCACAGTAGCTCTGGTAAAACAGAGATCTGAAATGTCAGTCTTCCTTGTATAACATCAAGTTGTTTTATAAGCAGTCATTTTCTATTACTTTTAGTACAGTAGCAAATATTTGCCCAAAAACAAATCAGACTCATATGCTAAGTAAATATTAGTAATGGAATCTTTCCCTTTATCATTGTGCTGAATATAAACTTCTGTTGAACAAACAAGCAGACAATATTTTAACTTTCTGCTTATGACAAATGTTATTACTTTGTAAACAATGCTGCATACTACATAGCACATTTTCAATGGATGGTTTCACCCAATTTCATTACACCATCCACTTGAAATAAAAGATCTGTAGTTGCTATGCATTTTATAGCCATTACATGGTGATTATTAAATGTCAGAGTGAAAAAATTGAGTCTGCATGAAGACAGACTTAACAGCTTCTGGATGGGTTCTTCTATATAGGATACTGAATGGAATCATTAAGTATCACAATTTCTTATACTGAATACTTAGAAGCAATCTATTTAGCAGCAGCTTTCAGAGAAATCTGACTTCTAGATTAGATATATTTTTGGTTAAAGTGTTATTTTCAAAATAACTTTCATGGCCAAATGATTATGATTTCAATTACCAGTTTCTTCATTTCCTTTCCAAGAACTGGTATGACTAACTTTGGCTAGCATACAAAGTTAGTCAAGCAAACAATCTATTAACTAAAAGAAAAGTACAATCACTGTAACATCATCAATGAGTAAACCTGTTTTTGAAACTACAACCGTCACACACATAGTACATGCAGAAACCATAAATCCAAGAAAATGAGTGGGAAAACAATCCATGTGTTTCACTACCAATTCACCAGCAAACTGACTCTGAAACATAGTTTTATGCCAGGATTTAGTTGGAAATTTGATAAAGAAGCAGAAAAATTTGGAAGATACAAGAATCAGGAAACACAAAAGAGCATAAATCACGTGTTCACATTTCAAGTTTTGTGTGGCAGCAAAATGACCATGCAGCAGCCATAACCAACACATTTTATACTTCGTGTTGTCTACATGTGTGAATGCTAAGAAAAGAATCATTACAAAAGATGTCATGTGATCGCATTAGCAATTTGCAGAATGAATATTAGGACCATAAATACTGTTGTGGCAGCTAATGTAATACAAAAGGTATGCACCAAAAGGCACTTTGAATCAGATTAGCACATAAGGCAAGTATATGAATACAAACCATAACAAAAATTTATCTGGTTACTGTGGAAACGGATGCAATTAAGGATGTCTCATTTTCCGAACGTTTTATAGATGTGTGCAGAGGAAAAAACAGATCAAAATGCAATTAAATACATTGTGTGGAATTTTCAAAAGTACCTAAGTGACTTAGGAGCACAAATATCTTTGAAAATCAATGAGACATGTGCTCTTAAATCATTTAGCTGCTTTAACCTATAAATAATTCTTTGCCTCATTATCTATAAAGAAATTCTTAGATGTGATATTTTCAAAATGTTCTATGTTGGCCTGCCTCATCTCACATCAAAGTCGGGGGGAACAGTTTTAGGCTAATGCTGAATGCATTTGAAAGTCCTGTCCCAATGGCATGGGTTCAGAAAGGTAGCTAAGTGCACATAATTTTAAACACTTAGGATAGGATTTTCAAAAATGCGGAATGGAGAAAGGTACGAAAATCTCACGGACGTGCCTAAGTGAAGATAGGACTCTCCCATAGATTTTTTAAAAATCTCATCCTAAACAGTTCCATTAACCTTCATGAGACTACTCACATGCTTAAAGTTAAGCATGTACATAAATATCTTCCTGAATGGGGCCCTATACTGTGAATGTCACAGATCAGTAGCCAAGGCCACAGTAGAATCAGCAGAAAGGGGCTAAAGGACTATGGATTCACCTTGTTTAGTTTCCTTTTAATGCTCCCTTAGAGGTGGGATAGCAAGGGGGTTATCGCGCGCCTGCATCTTTAGGGAACAAGATGAAAATGGTTCAGAACTGCAGCCAATTGCACCTCAAGACCCTGATTCCACTGTCTTTATGAAGCAGAATCTCCCATTGCCTTCCAAAGTTTCTCTGATTTCAATGTGGGTGTTGTCTTCGATTAAGGCTACTGGAGCCAGAATTTGCTAGGGGCCTGGAGGAAAGCAAGACAGAGGGAGGACCTGACTACTCCTGGTAAGGTCTCCTGCCACCTGCCATTGTGGTTAGAGCACTGGCATTGCCATGACCCCAACCTACCCAAACACACCTCCTCAGACAGCACTAACACCACCACAACTACTCTTGGGGAACAATGGATGCAGCACCCTAAGTGCCTCTGGTGATGAGTGCTGGAGATGAGGAGGCTCTCTGGTGCCTCTCTAGTGCAGTAGCTGTAATCTGCCATTTGCGTTATTAATGCAAAGACATGTTAACCTGAATTTTGCCATCTTTAATCAACAACATTCTCATTGAGCTCGTCTGGGAGTTCTGAGCTACACTGGGTGGCAGAATTTATCCCTGCACTAATGCAAACCAATGCTGATCTCCATGCTGGTGCATCATCCCACACCATATTAAACTGGAGCACAACCCTTTAAGTGGGCTCATGAACCTACAATGTATGTTCCGGCATGATCCGTCTCAGTCCATTCTTACTTGCCAGGCAGTAAATCTTAAAAGCAAAACACAGAAAACATCTATATTGGTACCTCCAGCACTTCCTTGACTGCACTGAAAATATTTGCATATGGAAAAGGACCGTTTGTGGATAAACAATTATTTTGTTCCATGCCAGGATAGATTTGTAGCAAGGGAAATCCAGCTCCATGTATGGAAAATTTGGGCTGCTGATACTCTATTTAAGGCCCTTCTCTTTAGCCTGATCTACCTCTTAAAACCCAAACAAGCAAAGAAGATTATCTATTGGAGGCAACGAGGTTACAAAGCACGATGGTTAAAAACAACTATGACTTGTCCACACTATAGCTATTCCCAATCCAACTGGCGGAGCTGTGCTAGCTGTGACTTACAGGTCTGACCTGGTTGTTCCGTAGACAATCAGGGGTATTGACAGCCTCTGTGTGCACCTGGTCAAAATGCAGGGGGCAGCGCTGTGCTCCTGGAAGGGGACAGAGCCTTGGCAGAAGGGACTGGGCTGGAGACAGCCAGCCCCCCATGCTGCCCAGAGCATGCTGCGCCTTCACAACTGCCAGAGCCGACCAGAGTGAATCATGTGGCACTTAGGGTTGCCAGGTGTCCAGTATTCACCCGGACAGTCCGGTATTTTTGCCTCCTGTGCGGTAAAAAAATTCAGAGAATACCTAACACCTAAAATGTCCAGTATTTTCTGATTTTTTTCCCCGGCCAGTTGGCAAAAATGCTGGGCACCTAGCAACCCTACAAACACTCAGCACCTGGCCTCTCCCCCTTCCCCTGACTCCCAACACCCCCAGCCACCATGCTTACCTGGTTCTGCAAGGCTGCTGGCACAAGATGGCTGCCAACTAAGGGGTCTTAGTGCACAACTGCTCCCCTGTTCTTATCCCTGCACTCACTCTTAAAGGGGACATGCTGTTTTATTTTAATTTTTTTTTCTCTACAACTTTGTCCCCCCCCCCTTTTTTTTCTTAAACAGAATTTTTTCACTGTGTTTTTTTGGGGGGAAGAGGGTTCGGTATTTTTGTTTGCCACAACTGGCAACCCTAGTGGCACTCCGGCAGCAACTTAAAGGGTCCAGGGCTTTAGCCACTGCTGCAAATGCAGTAGCAGTGACAGCAGCTGGCAGCCCCGAGGCCCCTTTCAATCATT